TATTTAACATTAATATTTTCTTCAGTCCATTGTACAAGAACATGTTTATGTCCAATCACAAGTGTTTTTGGATTATGGGTCCATATATCATCTACAAGTTCTTCTTCTTCATCTTCTTCATCCACCTCATCTTCTTCATCTACTTCAATATGTTTTTTATGTTTTACTTTTTTATTTTGTACAACTCTAGATTTACTAAATTTATTATCATTTTTTTTATCTTCATCATCAATATTTGATCTAGATAAGATTCTATTATTCTGTACAGATTTTGGTTTTTTACTAGGTGTTTTTCCGATATTCTTTTCCAAAGTTTTCCATTTGTCTTGATGTGCTTTGGAGATATGGTTTTTTGCGATCAATTCATTGAGAAGTAAACTAAATTCCTTTGTACAATAATTACATTTTGCTTTATTAGTTTCCTCATTAGTCATAAAACATTCTAAAATAGTAGTAGGATTTTGACCAGAAACGCTTTGTGTTTCAGTATCACTTTCTTCCATTTTTAAAAAGGAAAATTATTAATAACTTTGTATTATATATAAAATTTTAAATAAAATATTTTTCTTTATTATTAATGAAAAAAATAAAATAAAATTAATTAAACATATTAATAATTTAAAACAAATATAAATATAATAAAATTTAAACTTAATCAAACTACCCTTCAATCATCGTGAAGGGTTAAACGTGGATCATTTGTTTAATGTTGTTGTGTGAAAAAAAATTATATATAAAATTTTAAATAAATTTTATATCAAATCATTCAAATCTTTTCTATCGTCAAGGAAAGGAGAAAAAATCATTTTTTAAAAAAAAGAAAAAAAAATGAATGTACAAATTTAATCTATTACCACTATTCACATTATTCATATCGTTATCATTATCACATATTATTTTTTTATCATTTATTATTTTATTTCGCATATATTATTTTTAACAAAATCAAACAAGTATTTTTCAGTAAGAATGTGTTATTTTGTTGTAATGTTTACAATTATGATTTTATGAAAGTATACTTTCAATAAAAAATTATGAAATAA